TGAATGAGTCAAGTTCTCATTAAACCCAAATCATGACCAAAGTAACTAAAAATTGAAAACCTAAAAAACCATCCCCACCACCTAAATATTTTGATATATCTTTTACAAATATTTGCGGTCTACGAAGCAACTTTCCGTCAGTTGAGTCTTACCTCCTGCAAAATTAACCAGACTTGCTTGCACTCAGTGAAACAAATTTAAATTCTGCAATTCCTTCTTCAGATGTCAGTGTTGATAGGTACTATCCTTTGATTCGTAAAAACTCAAATAGTCACATGCTAGGTTTAGGGGTATACATACGCATTAATTCTCCTATTTGTCGTGAAATCAGGTTCGAATCCTTTAACCATTCTTTTATGTGCTTTCGCCTAGCACTTCTTCACTCTATCACCTTTCTCTTTGTTCTTTATCGATTTTCTTCTTTCCATGATTGCACTCTCTTAAATGTTATCTCTGATCACCATGCACTCTCTCTTTACCCCTCTTCAACAGCATTATTAACAAGGGTAGATCTAACATTCCATCTCTCATTCATGGGACTGATCTTATTACCTCTCCCAAAGATAAGGCAGAACTATTTGCAATAAACTTTTCTTCTAATTCCACTCTTGAATATTATGGACATTCTCTTCCTTTCATTCCAGTCAAACAGGTTGACCCATTGTTAGACATTCAAATCACTCCGGCTTCTGTTGCTAAAGTCATATCTCAATTAAACTCGTCTACAGCTTGTGGTCCAGACAACATACCTGTCACAGTCTTGCAGAATTGTTCTTCAGAACTTTCTTCATTCTCTCTAAACTATTTAACAAGTGTTTAACTGAGTCTTGTTTTCCTGCTTGTTGGAAAATGGCATCTGTGGTTCCAATATTCAAAAACTCTGGAGAAAATTCTGATCCCTCCAATTATCGTCCAATCAGTCTTCTTTCTGTTATTAGCAAGGTCTTTGAGCCTTTGATCAACAAATTCCTCACATCTCATCTTGAGTCAAATAAACTGCTGTCAGACAATCAACACGGTTTTCGATCTTCTCGCTCTACGGCCGACTTGCTAACTGCTGTAACTGAAAGATTTTATCGTGCATTAGATGGAGGCGGTGAGGCTAGGGCTATTGCTCTCGACATGTCTAAAGCTTTTGACAAAGTTTGGCATGCTGGTCTTCTCCATAAGCTTGCTTCATATGGTATTTCTGGGAAAGTTTTTGAGATTATCAAATCATTTCTTTCTAACCGGTTTAATTAAGTCATCCTTGAAGGCCAACACTCTTCTTTATTTCCAGTAACTTCTGGGGTTCCCAAAGGTTCCAATTGGGGTCCTGTTTTGTTTCTTATCTACATAAACAATCTTCCTGACAATCTTTCATCTAAAGTAGCTCTTTTTGCTGATGACTCAACTTTATACTCCTGTCTTGACAAAAAGTCTTCTCTTTTCGATCGCCTAGAACAAGCAGCTGATCTTGAATCCAATCTCACTTCAGTAAAAGATTGGGGTTCACAGTGGCTTGTGAATTTCAACTCTAAAAAAACCCAATTGCTTACTGCAAACAACTACCGTAATATGGTCAACATTCCTATATTAATGAATGGCAATCCTCTTACTGAGTCCTCCTCTTTACGTCTTCTTGGATTATCACTTACTACTGACCTTTCATGGAAACCATATATACAATCGATTGCTAAATTAGCTTTTGCTAAGGTTGCTTCTCTTTATCGTGCTCGCCATTTACTTACTTCTGATTCTATTCTCTACCTCTACAAATCTCTTATTCATCCCTGTATGGAATACTGTTGTCATATTTGGGCTGGTTCTTCTAACGATTCACTTTCTCTTCTTGACAAGGTCCAAAAACGCATTTTAAATGTTGTTGGACCTGGACTATCTGCTAAGCTTGAACCTCTTTCCCATCGTCGTAAAGTTGCATCTCTTTCTCTTTTCTACAAATACTATCATGGTCACTGCTCAAAGGAGTTATCATCTCTAGATCCATCAACTAAATTTCATTCTCGTTTTACTCATCATTCAGCTAAGTCTCATTCGTTTACTGTATCTGTCCATGCTCTAAAAACTTTTATTCATCTAGTTTTTTTCCCCGCACTTCAATCCTTTAACTCCCAACTTAATAGTGGTTGCTTGCAGCCTTGTTGGGAGTGAATGCAAATAAAAAAAATAAAAAAAAAATGACCATACCATTACATTATTTATATCATTTTAAAAGCTTATTGAATCATTCATACTTTTTATACTATTTATTATTCATAGATTATCCTGGCCATATTTTAAAAATCCAGAAATTTATTTTCCTCAAATATCCGGAAAAAATCCGGAAAATTTTTTTGTAATATCCGCAAAAATTCGGAATTTACAAAGAGATGTTAACAAAGGGGAAGAGAGTGTGCTCTCCTCCATCTTTTATATTACTATAATATTACGCCAGTTTAAAAGTATCCATATTCAACGTATATATGAATAAAAAACTACATAACTTTTTTCATCAAAAAAAAAAAATAATACCAATAAAATTTTAACAATAATAATAAGAAGAAATAGATGAAGTTAAAGAAGAAGAAAACTGTATTTAAAAGCTGTTAAACAATGTGGAAACTTTTTTAGACATGCTTTTATACATTTAAATACATAATGAATAATGAAATATTGCTTAAACTCACCAAAGATATACAAATAGAAAAACGTTTAACGCGTTGTTACAGATCAGAGGCGCCACCATAATTGAAATCCCATAGGTGTTATTTATTTTAGCGTATGTAAAATAAATAACGCCTTACCAGTAAAACACCAACTTTTGGAAAATATAAATGGATTTTATTATAACTGTTTTCGGAGCATACTTCAATCGCAGTAAAAAGATAGGAAATAATAATAATAATAAAAAACCAGACTTCTAAAATACAAAAAATTAGAAATCTTTAGTAATAAATATGTTAAAAAAGTAAAAAAATATTGAATTATTTTTCTGTAATACGTTATTTTTCTACAATTAGTTCTTCGACTCAGTGCTTAAAATGTTCTAAACTTAATTTTTAGTACAACGACTTCTTTTATTAAAAAATCTCCACATTCAAATTTTATAAAAGTTTAAACGTTCGTTAGATAAAGTTTAAATAAAAATTTTAAATTTATTTTATGATAAACAAAAGGTGAGGCATTATTAATGTTCATTATTAATGATTTACGTGCTCATTCATGTGATTCAAAATTTAAAAGATAAAAAAATATGATATTTTTTTAATTGAAATAAAATTAATTTTGACATGTGCTTTTTGAATTGAAAAGAAAACGTACCTCAAAATGCGATGTTTTTAAAAACCTTATAATGGCACTTAAAAGCAATTTGATTTACTTCTTTCTTTAAAATTACATAAAATAAAAATTATTTTTAAAATTATTAAAATTTTTAAAACTATATACTATATATAAAATTTTTAATAATTACATAAAATAAAATCCTTATAGTAAGAATATAGTTTTATTATATAACACTTATTTGCATGTAATAACTTATTACTTACAAAGTAATTTATCTTAGTCAGTAATAATAAGTTTTTTATAAGTTTTTTTCACCCTTTACAAAAATAAGTTGTACCGCACGACCATATTACACCATAGTATTACAGTAACTGTAAGATTAATAAAAGTTTCTACTAGTTGAAGGTCATACCAAATTTCTCATTCTTAGATCGAACTATACATTTAAACTCCTTAGAGACTTCACTAATCTCTAAGGAGTTTAAATTTAACAATATATCTCATATTTGACGGAAAATAAAAAATGATTTCTCTGACAGCTTTAGTATTATTCTACCATCGTCGTAACTTTTTAAATACCATCGTCAAAACTTTTAAAAGTCTCCAATTAATTAGAAATTATGCGAAAAAATGATATTTTCAAGAAGTGTGTACGAATAGAGACTTGCAATGGTACGACTGGACAGAAAACGAAATAATGATGTAGTAAATTTTGAACCACCGACAAACAAACAGAGAGAAGTTTCAGTCCATAAGTGAAGTGGTTTACTTAAAAAAAGTTTTAAAACAAGAAAAAAAGAAATCTCTTTGCTAATAGCTAAAAGAGCTATTTAAAAAATGTAAATTTACAATTTTTTTTAAAAAGAGAAGAGTTTGACACGCATCGCTAATTTTATTTTAAAAGTAGGAGATCATTCGCTCTTTTGCGCTGGGATTTTTATTAAACTTTAATTAATATGCTTATTAATTTTTGGTTTATTCTGCGAGAGAAATCTTTTAATTTTTTTGACTTTGTTTGTTAACTAAATATAACGTTTGGTAATTTAAGGACAACAAGTTTACTGTTTATATATACTTGTTACTGTTTCATTTGAATACAGTAATAAACAGAAAAAATTTTATAAATTGTATTTTCGGAAACTATTTAATTATCCGGAAAATATAAAAAGTTTAAAAAATATCTGGAAAAAGATAATTTCTGATTATTTTACTATCATCAGCATAAAGTTTAATAGGGCTTTGACTTGATATGGCAAATCATTAATGAAAATCAAAAACAGCAGTGGTCCTAAATTTGATCCCTGTGGTACACCACTGACAACTGGTAGCCAATCTGAGACAGTGTCACTGAGGACCACTCTCTGTTTTCTGTTAAAAAGTTTTTTATCCAACAGGTTATTTCTTATGATAGCATATGATTGAAGTTCAGCAATCAAATAAAAGTGGAGTATTTTATCAAAAGCTTAGCAAGTGGAAAAATCCACTAATTACAGAATATTCATCAAGAAAATATAGTGCAGAAAAAACTAAATTTTTAAATAAAGACAAGGGAGAAAAATATAAGCAACACACATTTCTATGACAAAATTTTAATTTGAAACTTTAAATAATTTAAAATCTTTAGCTAAATCTAATGATTTAAATTTATATAGCAAGGATGATTAAATAATGATGAATAAAAATCATATCAAATAAAATGAAATAAATCAAAAAATAGATATAAAACAATAACTTACTAAACATATTGTGAAGTAAGCCTGGATCTAGCCTGTAAAACCAATACTTAAGTAACACCAGTTACTAAAGTTACAATAATAAACCAAAAACACAACATTAAATTAGTTCCTTATTGATTAAACTTTTGAACAAATTGCAGTTTTTGCTAAAAATGTAAATGAAAATTATGATTTATTTATATATTAGGTAAATACAACAACAACAACAACAAGCTATTTATTAAAATCATAATAATTACAATTATAATAGTAATAATAACAATAATATATACTAATAATATAAGATAATAAAATTAAAAACAAATTACATTAAAAGTAGTAAGAATTACATTAAAAGTAATAAGAATGTTTACAAAATTACAATGAAATAATAATAATAAATATTATAATGTTAGTTATAAGCATAAAGTTATTTGTAATAATAAATTGATTATTTATTAGGATGGTGTCACTCATACGGAAATCTGACCAAAGGAGTGACACCAACTTTTTTTTATTGCCAACTTATTTCTGAGTAAAGTTAAGAAGGGTAACTAGATCATATGGGCATTATGGTAAACTTTTCAAAAACTGTATTTTAGTTAAGTGAAAGAATATTTACTTTTATTTTTTACTGCAAACTTATTTTTAAGTGAGTTATAATTAGTTTTTAAAAGCATATACTTTTTAAGTATATTGTATTTATTTAAAGTAAAAAAAAAAGTGTGGATGTCATGACATATTTGGCATTTTATAAATTGTCAAATGCACTTTAAAAATGTCAAATGCATTTTAAAAAAGAGATCATACTTTAGTTATCAAACAGAAATTCAACAATTTCAATATAATTTTAAAAAACATTATTTTCAGCCATGCTGGAAATAAATATTTTTTAATATACTTGTTCTAATTGCCATCCTTAATGATTATTTTAATGATTAATTTTTTTTAAACTTTACACTATAGACGCTATAGGAAACTTTTAATATTAATGAGAAATTATTTAACTTAGTTCAATAAAATGTTGTATGTTATATGGAAAAAAAATCTTAAACTTTAGAATATTATTTTATTTCAATAGAAAAATTTGAAAGTAAATGAAAAGTGTCCTTTTTTTAACCTGTGTATATTTATATTATGATTTATTTATAATATTTTAATATTATTTAGGATACAAAAGTATATAGAGTTATAACTTTAAACTAAGGACTTATAAATTATAATATAATTATTATTATTATAATATAATATAAGCATAGAGAGTATATAGAGTTATAACTTATAACACTGTTATAAGTTATAACTCTATATACTCTCTATGCTTATATTATATTATAATAATAATTATTATATTATAATTTATAAGTCCTTAGTTTATGTTATTAACAGAGCTTATAATATAAACTTTGTTATCAAAACGAATTTTTTTATTATATTTTTACAACGATATTCTTAACAAGTAAAAAAAATATATATTTAAACTTACAACTATCCAAAATTTACAATGTTTTAATATTAAAAGCTAGCACACTTGTAAGCTCAACTTTTTTTTAATGCCAAATGAAAAAGATGAAATCTTTAAGGAGAATTTATTACATAATCACATTTATTATTGGTCATTAAAACAATAGCACACACCCATTTACTGAGAGCCTTCTCATTTTACTTCAGAGCCTTCTCATTTTACATGTTACACCTTAGCTGCGATTTACTACTGTGATCAAAAAGTAAGGTGAATTTTTAATTTGAACTTCCCGTCTTATTCGAATCGTCCAATCTTTTTTATTTTTAAGTTGGTAGGAATGTCATTAACATTTGCGCCAAATTACATGTTAAACTCATAATTATTTTTTTTTTGTTTACGCTTGTTTCTGAAGTACTAAAAGTGCATTCGGCGATTTTCACGATGTCTAATTTTGTTGAGCAAAGAAGTGCTATTAAATTTTGTTTGCGGAATGATATTTCTGCTGCTGAAACGTATCAAATGTTGCAAAAGGCCTTCGGTGAAGAGACTATGTCTCAAAAAAATGTTTACAAGTGGTACAAAGACTTTAAAGAAGGCCGAGAACGTGTTGATGACTTGGAACGCTCCGGACGATCATCGACTTCGATTGATGATTGCCACATCAACAAAATCAAAGAATTGGTGCTTGCAAATCGTCGGTTAACCATTCGAGACCTTGTTGACATGGTTGGAATATCATTTGGGTCAGTGCAAGCGATTTTGAAAGATCATTTGGACCTCAGAAGACTCAAATCACGTTTGGTGCCGAAATTTCTCAATTTCTTTGAAAAAGAGCGTCGCGTTAAAACGTGTGAAGCAATGCTTTCTAACTATCATGACGTCTACAAACAAATTATTACTGGCGATGAGACTTGGGTCTACGCATACAACCCTGAAACAACCGACCAATCGAGTGAATACTGTGAAAAAGGCGAGCCGAGACCGAAGCAACCACGTCAAAGTCGCTCAAAAATGAAGGTCATGTTGACTGTTTTCTTTGATTATTGTGGTGTCGTGCACTACGAATTCCTTCCAACTGGCCAAACTGTCAACAAGGAATATTATTTAAGCGTTATGCGACGTTTGCGTGAAGCTATTCGCAAAAAGAGACCGGAATTATGGGCCAATAACTCTTGGATTTAGCACCACGATAATGCGCCTTCGCACACAGCACTGGTTCTTCGTGAGTTTTTCGCCAAAAACTCTACCCATGTTGCTCCACAACCACCGTATTCGCCCGACTTAGCACCGTGTGACTTCTGGCTGTTCCCAAAGCTCAAGAGACCACTCCGGGGAAATCGTTTTGAGTCCATTGAAGAGATCCAACGTGAATCGGCACGCACATTGAAGGCTATCCCTACCGAGGACTTTTTGGCATGCTTCGAAGACTGGAAAAAACGTTGGCAAAAGTGCATTGGGGCCGGGGGGGATTATTTTGAGGGGGACGAAACAGATTTGGAAGAATAAATAAAGATTTTTCATTTTATAAAAAAATTCACCTTACTTTTTGATCACAGTAGTATATCGGAACTATTTGTAAATTCCGGGTAAATTTACGTTATTAAATACCTCCTTTCTTTAAAAATTTAGATATTGTTCGTATTATTGCGACGGAATACGAATATAGAACGTATAATTTTAATTGGGTCACAATTTTAGTTACTATATTAGTTTACTTTATTTGGGTTATTTTTTAGTTCGGTTACAACAATTAGGATAGACGATATTTCTTCTGACATTTTTTCTGAGAAATTTGGGAAGTTAGACGAGAAAACTTTGCGTTATTGCGTTTATATATTTAAAATCATCCGCAGCAACTATGTTTCCGCGGCTTTTTTTTTTTTGTTTTTTTGTTTAAACATCTTCGCTTCTAACAAGGCTGCAAGCAACCCCTAATTAGTGTTGGAAGTTACTGGAAGAGAAAATATGAAGATTGTAGAGCAAGATAACGACTGACAGACAAATTAAAAGATTGCAAATAATATGAATCAGGAAAGCAAGTGAATTCCAAAGAACTGATATTCGCGGATTTGAGATTTATAGAGATAGAGAATAGAATCCAGAGTAAGAAAGTGTCAAGCTCCATAAAGAGATGCAACCTTAGCAGATGCTAATTTTGAAACGGATTTGATATATGGTTTCCAAGACAAATCAGAAATAAGAGTTAATCCTAGTAGATGAAGGGTACATGATTCATCAAGTACATTACTGTTTATCAATATGGAAAGGACTAAATTATTAAGATAACAATTGGCTGAAAAAAATTGAGTTTTATCTGAATTAAAGTTCACCAGCCACTGTGAGCCCATGCTGTAGCAGAAGTGACACCTTTTTCAAGCTCAAATGCCCCCTCCAAGTAATCAGAGAGTGTTAGCTTCTTATCATGATAAGAATAAATGGTAGTATCATGAGCGAACAATGCCACCTTAGATGTGAGAATTTTTAATATATAGTATGGAAGATTGTTAATGTAAATTAAAAAGAGTATAGTGTCAACGATTGAACCTTGAGGAACCACTGAAGTTACATAATAAGAAGAGGGTGCTGTCCATCAAGGACAACTTTTATACTACGATTGGAAAGGAAGGATTCAATAATCTTAAAGATGTTTTCAGATACACCTTAAGAAGAAAGTTTATGTAGAAGACCAGCATGCAAAACTTTATCAAACACTTTAGAAATATCAAGAGCAATGACCTTAATCTCTCTACCTTTATCTAATGCACGATAAAACCTATAGGTTATTACTGTTAGTCTCTCTCATGTAGAACGAGATGATTAAAATCCATGTTGATGATCAGAAAGTAAGTTATTAGATTCATGATGAGAGATTAAGTGTTTGTTAATAAAAAATTCAAAAACCTTGCTTAAAACAGGAAGAAGACTAATGGGAAGATAGTTAGACGAATCAGATCGCTCTCCAGAATTTTTAAAAATAGGGATAACAGATGCTGTTTTATAAATAGGGATAACAGATGCTGGAAAACAAGTTTAATAGTTTTGAAAGGATAGGCGACAGCTCCGGAGAACACTTCTGCAAGACAGGTATGTTATCCGGACCACAAGCAGTAAAAGATTCTAAGCAGGAAACCACTTTAGATACAGAAGTTTTAATTAGGTTTTTATAGTAGCATCATAATTAAAAAAAAAAAATTAGAGGAGGAAATAATTTTCTTTTTATTCAGATATTTTATTTAACAATAATAAAAAAAGTAAACAAGCTTATTCCAATGTATACTCTAAAATGTATATATAGTAAGTAATAAGTATGTAAAATTTGATTTATAATTGCAATGAAAGCCGCTTTCCACATTAAGTGGAATAGTTATGTGAACCAATAGTTAACTTTTGTAATTCACGAGAGCCCTTTACACAAAAAACTTTGTTCAGATGAAAGCCGCTTTCGTCTGAACCAAGTGGTTTTGTGTAAAAGGCTCTCGTGAATTACAAAAGTTAACTATTGGTTCACATAACTATTCCACTTAATGTGGCATAATCCTTAAATAAATACGTGCTAAATTTGATGTGGCTATCATATGGGGCATACATATAAAACTCATGATCTTGCCTCATTTTGAGTTTTTAATATTAACCAATTGTAATAATTCTATCGCAATGCATTGTAAACTCTAACACACTAACAACATACCTATGACACACTAACAACATACCTTGCCACATGCAGCAGGGAAAAGTTAACCACAAATTTTTCATATTTAAACAAACAAAATTCCAGATGCATCTTAATTTTCTTTGGGTACAAAAGTACATTGAGTAAAAGGGAATATATTGATTAAAAGAAGTTTATTGACTTTTTTTACATCATTTTAATAAGTTTCTTACAAAAGTGGATTAAAAAAAAGTACTGTTTTTTTTTGATAAATAATTTTTGAAGCAATTTCATAAGCAATAGAGATAGATATTGAAATAATATGCATTTCACCTTATAGTAGACATTGCCTTTAACTATTTGACACACTTGTTAATAAAGTAGTTGAAGTGCCTTCAACCACTTGACACACATTTTGATAAAGTAGTTAAACATATGTGGTCTTAGGCCTTTTCTAAATGTTTAGTTGAAAATGCTAATATTTCTATGCCTCGTTGAAACTTTCACATTATTTTTAACAAATCATTACAGCCTTCACGTTATTGTTTACAAAATATGGCCCAACATACTTACAAAAAGAGGATTGATTGTTAATGCGTTTTACTATTGCGGTTTGCAACCCCTAAGAAATACAGTGATAGACTTTAAATACAGAAAAAAAAAAGAGATAATTAATAAAACAAAATTTTATCTGCGAGACCCAAATTTATCTGTTTTAAGGACTATTGTATCTTCCCCGGAAAAAAAGCAATCTTACTCATTCAAAACGCCATATTGCTCTTACTACATTACCAGATAATGTTAAGTTTATAAAAAGCCTCCTGCTAAAATGGCTCTAATAAAAAATGTGGTCACTATTAAACAGAAGTCAAAATAAAAAAAGATAAATCAGTCAAAACAAAAAGACTCATTTTTTAGCTAATTCTGATCACCCAAGTTCATCTATTGGTTTTATTCTAAAAAATAACACTAATAAAGACTTTTGTTGTGCTTGTGTAGTTTGGGGAGAAGCAAACAAAGATTGGCTTAAATATTTAAGTTGGCATGTGAAGGATGTTTTAGAGTTGATGCATGTAGAAAATGTGTGCAAAGGACATATAAACGTCTGGTAAGTTTTTTAAATAGTCATAGCAATATAATTTTTGTTATTGCTTTAACGTTTTATTTTGTGCGCTAGCGCGATAAGACGATTTTCATTTATGCCAAAATCATTATTTGATATTTTCTAGAAAAAGTTTAACAAATTACATCTTTTTAGATGTTTTAGAAATCAAGAAACTGACTTTCAGTAACTCTATCTTGTCGTTTTTTGAGGGTAATTCCATCTGTATTTATCTGTAGGCTACTAGTAGTTATATCTACATCACTTAGAGGATTACTGTTCAGATTACGGAAATCATCTTACATTACTCCAAAAATAATGCTCTATATCAAAGTTTTTTTTCTCCTAGGTAAGCTGTCTTTACCACTAGTACGGAATTTTATCTATTGCTCAAGTGACGTATTTTTAAATTAGTTTAATTGTACTGACGAATTCGCCACGTAATTGACGAATTCGACTATCATGACTTGATGATAAAAAAATCAAGTTCTACGCTAAAGTAACTTTAGAATTTATTTTGATTCAATACATTAACAAAGTAAAGACCATAATTAATAAAAAAATGCTTTTAAACTAGTAAAGTTTACTTATTTATACGCAATCTCAAATTGTTAAAGTAAAACATGACGAACTCGCCC